TTTAAAGTTTATATAAACAAAGGAATGCCTTTATCCATTTTTTGTAGCAATTCCACTTTTTGTTTAATGAACTTCGAAACTTACTTTTGCTTTGTAGATTATTTACATATTAATAAATATATATCAGAAATTCTATTTGACATAATCGAAAGTTCAAGCTTATTTTATAAAATTGCTCTAACAGTCTGCTAAAAAATAATAAGCCGGATCCAATTCGAAGATTAAGGAACAACGCAATCTGCAAACATTAACTGAAATAGATAATTAAATAATTTTAGCTTAGCTTATACCGTCCGTTATACATTAAACGCACACTCGTAAATGTATTTTGCGCACGCACACAAGCATATTCTCAGCCGTAAAGGCCTTACGCCCATGCGTCAAGGCGACGCATGCGCAGAAAGTTTGAAGCTTTGAGGTCCGGATTATGGGTGTCCGAATTAACGACTTTTGACTGTATAACATAGTTTAATACTAATATACAAATACAGTGGGTGAAATGTATACTGTACATAAGTGAATCCCTTCACATGATTCTGTACATAAATGTTTTTCTGCTATCCAGATCAAAAGTAATTTTTTGTTGTTGTTGTTGTTACTAATCTTCGCGTCTAAGAATATACTAGATGAGGTCCACAAGTCCATTCACCTTCAGAAAATCGAAAACAAGCTTAGGAGACTTATAAAGGTTCTCAAGAGACAACTTCAGGTACTCAAGGATATGTGCCGGTGCATTTTGAAATTTAGAAGCTTGAACTTTCGATTATGTCAAATAGAATTTCCGATATATATTTACTAATATGTAAAGGATCCACAAAGCGAAAGTATGTTTTGAAGTCCATTAAACAAAAAGTGGAATTGATGCAAAAAATGGATAAAGGCATATCCTTTGTTTATCTAAACTTTGTTTATCTTTAATGCCGCGGCAGGCGCACAATGAATTGGAAGTTGATCTGTCAGCACTATTCTTATCTTTAGGGCAGATGTTTTTATTTTATTTGGCTTATAATTCCTTACTAAATGTAGTATTTCATCTCGATGTACTCCGTCTTTGATATGACTTAAATCATATTCCTCGTCATTATAATTCACTTCCGATAGTGAAGAAAGTGACACAGAAGTTATTGAAAACGAAAAAATTTCGATTGACAAATTAGTCAGTATTCTCGACACAGCAATTATAGGACTTGAACAGCGGAATTTTGTAACTAAAGAAGAAATTATGTCTGTTTTATAGTTAAAGAAGAAAGACTTATCACATAAAACTAAACAACTTACATTGAAAGAATGTTTAATAAGTAAACAAAAAATATTAAGTTTTTTTTTTTTTTTTTTTTTTTTTTTTTTTTTGTAAATTTTGATACCTTTAAGATATAATTGTTCTTTATTTCATAAATTACGGTTTGATATTTTAATTTTATAATTTCTGCATGCCATCTTACCAGATTTAAACTGATCATCTATAATCCGGAATCGCCGAAGTCCCGACGAGTCCGGATTACCTTTGACTGTACAAAACAGTGTATCGCCTCTGGTGCTTTAATGGCTTATTGGAACCTGAAAGTATATTAACTGGGTTACAACCCCTGGAACTCTATACAAAGCTATGACACTAACTACATCAAACAGAGCCTGACTAACTTTCAACACTTGCTAACCGTGCCTACATGCTTAATGGCAAACCGCATATTGAGTTGATCAATGCTAACGAATTTTGCTTACTGTGCATGCTCAATGGTGTACCGCTGGCGTGGGAGAAAATACTGGCGACTAAGCATAAGCAACCCTACACAAGCCTGTTCGTCATTTAGATCTTATCGACTGTTTACAACTGCAACAGTCTATTTCATTTACCTAGAATAATTTATTTGACCTTTAATTCAGTAATTTAAACTAGATTTAATCCTTAATTTGTTAAAGTCTATATGATGGAATGTTGGTAAATACTCAATTGTTTTTTTCCTCAGAGTATAATCAGCTAATATATCTTGTAATGTTTCCTGTTCTGTAATCCTTTTTAAAAGAAAATTTGGGTAGTTTACAATCGACATTTACACTCCAAGTAATGAAGCAGCCTACAACCTGACAGTTAAAACCTCGAACTGTTTACGACCAAGATAACACAATATCGACCATATACCGTATTTATCTTCTATTAAAATTGCGCCAAATTCTCTTTTGGGCATGCGCAGTAAGCGAAATTCGCCTAACATTAATCAACTCAATGTGCGGTTTGCTATTACGCTGCCTACATCAGGCCTTTCAAGTTTGTTCTAATCAGCAGATCTCTCTCTAGACAAGCAGCGGTGATAACATTCAGTCTTTTGTTATGCTGATTATGATCTTACTTCTCATTTTAACCTATGACGTTTGACACAAAATCTACCTTCTATTTACTAAATCTCTAGACCTGCGGTTCTCAACCTTTTGGGACTAACGTGTACCATCTAAATAAAAATTGAAAACCTTTAGTACAACCACTACAAAGTACTACTACCACCACCACTCTTGAACAAAGCTCATATTGCATAAATTTATGAGTGTTAGAGAAAAAAAACTCAATCAGGATGTTCGAGTTTTAATTTTTTAAATAAATAGTTAAAAATACTTTGCTTCTTTGTGTACCACTTATTTTTTTTCTTTCATACCACCAGTGGTACGCGTATCACCAATTGAGAACCTCTGCTCTAGACTGACTAAGTATGTGACAAAATGAGACATTAAAAAAAGTCAACATTAAGCTAACTATTAGTAAAACGTAAATGTCACTTATCATATTTCAAATATGTCCAACCTATTATAAGTGTAAAATATTCAATGTTACTTGATAAACTGCATGATGTTTATTTTATTCTCAAACTTATTGATAATTATGTTAATTCATGTTTAGTAATAATGCATATTACTTAGGGATCTATTTTATTTTTAGGATGGTATTACAACAGTGAAATTCAGGCATAGAATAATATTTTTAATTGAATATATTCAGTTCCCATTTGCTCATAGGTCCTTAATTTTTTTCATTAATGGTCCTTAAAAGTACTTAATTTCCTTGTGCAGAAATGTGTTTGAACCCCATAATGCAGATTCTTCATTATTTAATTTCTTCAAATATAATGCAGGACTCTAACATTTGGTGGCAACAATTTGAAAAGTGATATGCCATTTATAGCAGTTCGATACGAAATCGCAAAATGAAAACAATAGTCCTTCAGGGACAAAGCCCCTTTGGACGAGGAAAAAAAAAAAAAAAAAAAAATCTAGCCAAAAGTAATACAAAACTGTAGTCTAGGTAATAAGAGCTAAACAAAAAAAAAATCAAGTAAATATATTTACGATCTATAGATGTCATTGACAGTATTTTACAGTCTGAAACATGGTACAACACATAGCAGCACATCACAGTCTGCAATAGCATAATAATCTGGTAATTTGAATCAACTAATAAAACAAGCTGAATTTACAGTTTATTTATAATGAGCCAGGTCGTCGACTGCAGCTCAAGGTCATGGAAGAACCAATCACAAAAACCGCTTTGAGCCCTCCTACAGCTAAGAAAACATTTGCATGTCAGAGTGTCAATTGCCACACATATTATGGGCGAGAGCATTAAATATCCTTAAAATTTTTAGCACCCGAATTAACTTGTTCGTAGGAAAATCGAAACGGTATCTATTCCCGAGATATCTCGGGCGCAGTCTTTAAGAGGTTATTGTGTGATAAAAGAGAAGACTTTCTTGAAGAATCATAATCATTTCAACTCTGTAAAACAAGGACTTTGGACTTAACTATTGAAATTTTAATAGGATTTTAAAAATTGCATTTAGTTTCAAAAATATAATGTTCAAAAATTTATGTTCTACATTATTTTAAAAATTAAAATCTCTCTCTGTATACATATATGTGCATGGCTTCAGCTAATACTAATATTAGAAGCTTAACTATTAATAAATCAAAATAAAGAAAACCAAAATCAACTCATTCAGACTTAAGCTTTCATCTTGGACATGTCACATTACCTCTGTGCATCTTTTGCGGGCTAGATTGCGTGTGCAACTCTTTTTTTTTTTCTCTAACAGCTTAAAATATATAAAACTGTCTTCAGTATTAAGTGTGCTTACAGCACCAAGTTATGTGAGGCTGCATATATTGAGAATAAAAGAAAGCATTTATATCCTTGATGATTGCTTCTGTCTTTATGCATTAAGATTTAAATCATTACATACACACAACACATATATTAGATATACAATAATCCTTGGAGGTATAAATGCAAAATATATAATAATTAACTTTAGGTGGTTAATGTTTACTTAACTTTGAAGTATTTTTAATTGTCATTGCAGATGATTTCATGTTTGCATTTTTTGTAGGTATTCTCATTACTAGTATTTTTATAGCTGTAAAGATGCCAACAGCAGTCAGATACTCTCCTGCTATTGAATACTATTTTTATTTTCATAACCTGTACTAATATCTTCATAAATATTTAATACCTTATGGTTCTTTATAAATGGATAAAAAGCTGGTAATGTGATCAAGAGTGCATAGAGAGCATGAATTACCTTAACTGGCTGGGAGTTGTTGATATCATGAAGCATTATTTACAATAAACTTTACTTATTTCAAAATTTTGGTAAAAATTAACCATTTAAATGAATCAGTGTAAGGTGGGGAAACGTTATGCAATAATTTAGCAATTAAAAATTTCCATTAAATAGAGTTTTTGAATATTGTATGTAAATGAAAATATAAAATTTTATAATCAGACATTGTATCGATTAGATGAAGAAAAATTTAGGTTGAAATTTCTCAAAATTTGTCTTTTGAAAAGACAAATCGTTAGTTCGTATAATAATAATTAAATTTGTTCCTATACATATATGAGTGTGGGTATGTATGAAAATTGATGAGTATGAATGAAAATTTTAAAATGTACTTTGCCATACAATTGGTTGCTTACTTTAATTTAATATAATAATGTAACATTTTCTATTTAGAGAGCAGAGATTGCATGGGATTGGGTTGGCCTGAGACCCTATCGGCCATCTGTGCGTATTGATGCTAATTTCATACCTTGTAATGGAAATTACAAAATGGTATGTTTTTCATTAAATTCTGATAGAAATTATCCTTATATTAATTTTTAATGCTTAAGTTTTAAAATTTCATAGTTTCTTACAAATAAATTCTTTTTTTTTTTTTTTTTTTTTTTTTAACTGCAAGACATCACTGGAGTTCAACAATCAGTTCTGCTATATATATTAAGTAATAACATGTATGTAATTTTTTCCAATGCCTATTTTTTGCAATGTAGCATGTATGTTAAAAAACAATTTATTTCATTTAAAATCATGAATTTTACATTTAGGTTGTGAATAATTATGGACATGGAGGTCATGGTGTTGCTCTTTCTTGGGGCACAGCATTAGAGGCTACACAACTGGTAAAGAAATTTTTTGTGGAAAAAAATTTTGTAGCCAAGTTATGAATTCTGTATTTTTACCTCTTAGTACCAAACAATATGTACAGTTACACTTGAATTAATTTCATGTGTGAATATTTTAATTCCCTAATGTATAAAGTAAATACAATTTCAGTTTTAGACTATTAATTTAAAAACAAAAAAGAAAGGGGGAGGAGATTTGAGAGTGTCTCAAAAGCTCCCTATTCTCATTTTAAAAGTATCTAATGCATTAACTCTCTTCTTTATGAAATAAAAACATTTATCGCTAAACAAACAAGATATACAGTTTCATCAGTTAAACTAACTCAGAATGAGAGAAAATGGAAATTTGTGAAATGGAGTTTTTATACAATTTTGGAAGCTCATCAAAAGTTACCAACTTGAATGATTTCAGTACTGATTCAAATCATCCTAAACTATTCAAAAATTAAACTAAAATTAAAATATTTCTTCTTTTGCTGTTCTTTTATTTTTTCATCAAATGTACATTTATAAATTTATTTTATTCTAATGCCTCTCTTTATTAGCATTCAAGAAGTAATTTCAAAATAATCTTCTTTTGCATCCGAAATGATCTAGGTATTTTTGTCAAAAACCATATAAAAGCAACATTTTTCTTTTTAAATTCCCCAGTTAGATAAGGAAATGTGCTTACTATAAAAACCAACATTTCTCTATGCTTTTAAATTTTAATCTTAATCAGTGGTCAGTCTGCCATTGTAGTGTGTTTCAGATTGTAAGAGTGTGTTAAGAGACTGTTTATACTGTTAAATCTGTTTTGTCTGTTATATGGATGCTATATTAACCTTTAAGTTTTTCTTGTCTTCTACATGTGTTAACAATGATATAGATAAATCAGAATAGTTCTTAATATAACTATGTGTCTTTAGCACTTGCCATATGAACCTGGAGTAAATACAATTAGCTTCAGGTAGTTCCATTTCACCTGTATGTTTAGCCAAATCTCATTAAAAAAAATTTTCAATGAGAACTTTTCAGAATATACTATAGAAATAACTGATGTGGTTAAATTTTACAATGTAGATTGCTTGCTGCACAGATGAAATGGCAACACCATAAAAAATAATTCAGATAAGTCAAAACATAGCATATAGGTAAAGAAGTAGTATTGAAAATTGATTTTTATTTCAATTGTATATGCCAAAGGACTAAATTTACATTGTACTTAGTAAGTAATATGACCATGATTTAGTAAGAATACCCAAATATCATGGTCATATTTCTTACTATGATTTAGTAAGAAATATGACCATGATATTTTGGGTGCACATTGATTAGTTAGGTTAGTATTCATTCAATATTTAAGTGGGTAAATTCTGTCCTTGATGTCTTATTTCCAAGTCTGCTCAACTGGCAAGAGATCTGGGGATCGTGCTGATCAAGAAATTACCTGAATATTTTACAAAGATGCCTACTGGTACCTAAAGTATCAACATCACCTTGCTGAAGAATGTTTTTACATATCCAATGTGTACAATAATGAACCAAGCTACAGCACCTCATCATCATAGTGAGGTGCTATCATTGCCTATTAGAAGTGATCAGTTGCTGATGCTGATGGCACCCTAAACTTTGACTGTGAGTGAGTTAATGAGCTGTGTGTGATATTCAAAAGTACTAGTCTAATTGCAGTGTCTCCTCCAGATACTCGATGACCATTGCTGTGGCATAACTGAGATGAATTATTAAGCCATTTTTCATCTTGAGTAAATCTAATGTGACATCATAGCAGGTATTCATAATGATGATTCTTGTTAATAGCAGTCTTCATGGTGAATTCCTGCCTCGGATAATTGATGATAAATTATTTGCATTGAGAGTTCAAATGTCTCTATTGTACCCTGCAAAATATCACCATCTGTGATTTATGGGACCACTACTGCATGATTTCAGACCCATGAATACACTGTGATATTTGTCTTGGTTATACTCTTAATGATTTTCACATTTCCTTCTCACTATTGTCTCACAAGATGCTACAAAGTTTATTGCATCCTCTTATATTTCTGCTGTAATACAGCACAAAGAACTAATCAATTTTACTTAAGTAAGCTAACTAACTTCTATTAAATACACCTGTTTGATGAAAACTCTCTGAATTTCAAAGTCATTTTCTTGGCTTTAAATTTTGACATCAGGAACAGAAGGGGAAAAAATCCGTATCCTGGAGTAAATCCTAGAAGTTAGCTTTACAGACTTCTTTCTCCTTTTTATCATGCTGTGAGATCATATGATTGACTGAGAACTGCCAGAACTTGCATTAAAGTACAGCTTGCAATCTGTTGTTTATTAATACATCAGGTACACATACGTAAAATTACCTGCCACCCTACATAAATATCTAAACACCTGTTTTTTAAATACATGGTGGTCATACAAATACAGGGTAAAAAGATGTTTTATGACATCTCTCAATCCTGACAAATCTCATGGATTTGATGTATACACTTTGGATTTCAAATCCATCAGATTGAAGTCTGGTATCATGGTGAACACAAAACTGCAAAGTTACCGGAGATGACTTTATCTCCAAAGTGGTTGTTGCAGTACTTCCTGAATACATGTGGAGGAGCACCACCTTCATGTTTTTATACAGCATGTTTTATAAGCTAAAATGCACAAAAATCATTACAGATGGCAGCACTATGCATTATTATCGAATTATGGTCTCTGATGGAGCGCTGAAATTGTACATTCACTGCACAAGTACTGCAAATTGAAATTTTATTATTTTAAATAATATTTCTAATTTATGAAAACATTTTGACAGTTTTAATATATATTTTTCTATCATATAAATAAATTGAACTAGTTCACAAGCAAAAAAAAAAAAAAAAAAAAAAAAAAAAAAAAAAAAAACATTTTTATTAGGTTTTTAGACGTGGATACAGAGTCTATCCACCGTCCTTTTAGGGCAGTAACACTGGCCTTGAAAATGCCGCACTGCCTCTACCTGAGAGAAGAGTTATGTTTGACAAGTTTTATGTTTTTGTAAGGGTGTGAAATATAAACAAACTTTGTTTATAACATGTGATGAGGTTTTGGCTTTGGTTTGACTCTCAGTATAGTTTTTCTGTTCGGCCAGAATGTTGACGTTTTTTAGAGAAACGAAATTTAGAAAATACTTTCTGTATATGGATAATTTTTTGTATTATTTTAAATTAGCTTTCTACTTTTATATGATTATAGTACATTTCTTTTATTGTTTTAATTTCAACATAATTTTTTTAAGTTTATTACAATGTCTAAAAAGAGCTTATCTGTACAAGAGGCTCTTGCTATTTTTGAATATTTGTGATCAAATATGGTTCAGCAGTATCTAATTATAGTGATACTGATGAAGACTATGTTGCAGACTTTACTCAAGAGGAAAATATTATTTCTAGTTCTGACGATGAAGAAATTGGGGAGTTACAGCTTCCCTCTACTTCTAAGCCACAAGTGAAAAACATTTTATTTCCAGATCTCTGCCAGAATTTACAGAAGACAGTGGTCCGTCTTCTGAAGTTTTAGAAATGCAAAATCCAACTCCTCCTTAGAGTATTTTTGCTGTTTATTACAGTAAAATTTTAGATATTGTGTTTCACGGTAACTTATATGCAACTCAAGGAAGGAAACAATGCAGCCCTTTAGAGTTTGACAAATTACTGTGATTTTTGGGTGTCAATCTACTCGTGGGAATCAAGTGTTTGCCAAGCTACAGAGACTACTCAGTGGATCCCGATTTGCATGTTGAGTGCATAGCACAACAGATGTATGTAAAAAGTTTTGCATGGATTCTCTCTCACATTTGCATAACAATAATAATTCTTTACAGCCGAAAAAAAGGGAAGCAACGATTATGCCAATTTATATAAAATAAGACCTTTTTTGAGGCATCTGTCGGAGAAATTCATTTCTTTATTTCATCCAAATCAAAATCAAGCCATTGATGAATCAATGGTAAAATTCAAAGGACGTTCTTCTTTCAAACAGTGTATGCAAAAAAAAAAAAAAAAAAAAAAAAAAAACCATAAAAAGAGGGTATAAAGTATCGATGTGATGAAAGTTCATATGTTTGCTAGTTTGAAATTTATACTGGAAAAATTGGTGATACTACCGGAAAAAACAAGTAATTGAGTTGTTCGCACTCTAAGCCAATCAGGTAAAAATCTTAAGTTATTTATGGACAATTATTTTACCAGTTACAGTCTTTCTAGAGACTCCTAAGATATTCGCATTTGAAACTGTAAACATGAATAGGATAAATTTGCCGAAAAACTTAAATTCCGAGAAATTGATGAAAAGAGGAGAATTTGATTGGGCATTATTTGATAACATAATATGCCTGAGATAGAAGGATAAATGCAGTGTATGCATATTATCATGTTTAGAAAATATAACAAATGTCATCAATGTAGAGAGAAATTAAAGGAATGATGAAATAATAAATTTAGCATGCCCCTAAGCAGTAACAGACTATAACAAAAATATGGACTTTGTAGACAGGTTTGACCACTTGAAATGCCTGTACGAAATTGACAAGAAAAGTTACAAATGGTGACAGAGAATTTCTTTCTTTTTATAGATGTTTCAGTTCTAAATGCATTCATAATTTACAACATGCATCCAGATAAATGCAGTGAATTTAAAACCATGAAAGATTTCTGAAGAGAAGTGATCCGAGCACTGCTACTGATGGGATTTCTTGTACAAATGGGTGCAAAAAAAAACTAAGTTCAAAATCGGTTCCTGTAAAAAAGCACAAGCCATATGTTCCAACAGATAAGCGCACAGAAGATGCAAAACATAGTCCTGTAAAAACGGAAGGTGGCTTATACAGAAGATGTGCTCTTTGCAGTAGAAAAAAAAAAAAAAAAGAAAAAAGAAAAAAAAAGCTCATCATTCTGGATCGCTGTGCAATGCCACATTGTGCCTCCAATCATGTGGTTCTATTTTTTCTGAAATTTATACCACATACCATATTTTCTGCTCTAAATCTTTATTATATGCGGCTTAAGTGTCTTTTTGTAGCCAATAATTTAGTGGTTGCTCGCGTAACTATACTAGCCAATGAGGTGAAGTAGCCACAGCATTCAAATAGTCCACATACACTGATACCATACATGCAGTTATCATTGTTTTAATTGAATTATAATGGTATTTAAGAACATTTAAATATTTTTAATTCATACAATTGTTGCTTATTATGCATTTAACTATATTTATATATGAATTACCTAGAAAGCAAACGTTGATAAATTAAAGGAGACAAAACCAACTAACGAGTTGTGCGTAGTACATCTCATCAAGTAGGTTTACCCAAACTCCTATGCTAAATATCCTTTCGCATAAAGAGTTTAAAGTTTTGCTCGATTTTATTTCGACATTGTATTTTAAATTGAATTTTCAGCTGAACACAAATTGAGCGTGTCAGGGGGAATGGGAATATTTGTTTACATTAGCAATCATCTGTTTTTGAAATGGTTTACAACTGAATGCAAATTGAGCATGTCAGGGGAAAGGTGAACATTTGTTCACATGTTGTGTATAAAAAGATCTTTGACATGTGAATTAACATTTTATTATTTTAATCACCTTTATTTCTTGAGCTAATGGTGGCTCTTGAGAAATGTATCGCGAGTAGTTTCCTTCATTGCACTCTACTTTAAGCAATTAAGCAAGTAGAAGGGGGGAAACCCCGTGGGGCAGTAAGCAAAGGGGCGTTCTCGCCGCCTGCCCAGGGTAATTCAGTTTGAATTAGCAGACACCTTTGCACAAATCATTTAAATTACAATTTATAATATCTAGAACAGTCATTTCGTATGACCGCCAGGCTTTCTAGTTTTTATTAACCATATTTCAAAATGTTTACATAAAAAATCTTTTAACAAGTACAACAATGATATTGTACGATTATTACTTTATTCCTCAAACATTGTGTATTTATCATTAAAATTGTTATTTTCTTAAATATTAATTTCTCATAAAAAGTTGTCATAATGAATTGAATTAATTTTGTCCCAACAGGTAAGCTAGATGTCTTAAGTGCACAGTGGCTATAACCTCAAGCCACTCCCTGACCCGAAAAATTATTTACGGCCTTACTGTTTAAGAGGGTTAAGAACATTATGTATATAATGTACTTTATCACGGAAAAGAGTTTTTTAGGTATGTGCCTGTGGGAGGGTGCAGATTTGCATAACTATTTATTTTACTGTTTTTATAAACTTTGATTTTTTAGAATAATATTTAGACCATTAAAAAAATAAGAAAACAATGTTTTAAATAGTAAAATAATATATGTAAACTGACTATAACTTATAATAAATCAGTTATACAAGAGCATGAACTGTATCATCAGAGCTAAAGCAGCAAAAGAAGAAATTAATAAGGTGTGGAATAATGGATTTAAACAACTTGTACCAGATTTTCTATTTATCAATTTGTATCACAATGAAACTTCATCATCAGTCAGTGTTAATTTTAGAACTAATATTATTATTTATTAGTACCTTTGAAAGTTAACCAATCTATTATTTTGGCTTGAATTGCAAAAGCAATAATTGCATGAAGATTTCTAACTGTTCAGCATTTTAATGAGCATCAAATACCAATTACAGATAGATAATGTTTGATATAAAACCATCACTGATTGCAGGAAAAGAGGTACGAGGTCCCTCTTCTTCAAGAAGCAAAGAGTTCCTTGCCCGTTTTTCCTCAAAACAGCTGTGTTACAAGTTTTCTTGTACAAATCAGTATCAGTCGATTTTTGCCCACTTTTATGTTTGCTTCTTTATACTAAAAAACCTTAGAACTAATATTACATTAATTTCAAAATAACAGAAACACTGTAAATAATTATACCTATTTTTTAATTTCATTTCTTTTAAAAGCATATTCATTAAATAAAAGATTACAAAATGGATTTTCTTTGAAACTTATTTTAAATTTTCAGAAGCTTTTATCTTTTATGATTGATCTTTCTAAACTTGTATATGTGCCAAAATAAATGTTACTTGATGCTGATATTTGTGATTGATATATGTGTATATAATGCACACATCATTGCATAAAAAATTAGTTTTTAATTAAAACTGCATAACATTGCAATTATGTATTCATTTCATTAATCAATTATACTGAAATTGGTTTTTTTATTATTATTATTATTATTATTATTATATCTTAAATATTCAGTTTCTGCTTTCTCAAACACCCCTTTATTGGCATATCTTCATTGTTACTGGAATAAGTCATACATTTAAAAAAAAATTTATTTTTTAAAACTAAATTGCCATTCGATAAAACATTTTTTTACAATATAATTAGGGCTTAATAAATTCATATTTGCTGGTGTAAATTTTCAATTCTAACTACTGTGAATGTTCATTCCTAATAATTTACTCTAAAACACAATGTTGGGAATAATATTTTATTAACAATATAACATAGAAAAATTACAAATATTTTACAAATTACAAAATTTACAATTTTTAAATACCTTCGCAAGCCTTTTTTTAATTAAGAAATAACATTAATTATGCAGATTTGAAATGCAATGAAATCTGCTTTGAAATAAGAGACTTGCAGCTTCTTTAACCAAGAAATTTTTAAAAGACAGAACTGTGTTTAATTTCTGTTGAAAGAGGGGGGGAAAATTGATTAAGCATCTAGTTTTTTAAATTTCTTGACGAATCACAAAAAGGTAACAAAAAATCTGACCCTAAACAAGTTATTTCATATAAATAGTAGTAATTTTTTTTTAGACTAGATACGAGTTCATAATACTTTTACACACTTAGATCACTTGATTTATTTTTATTTACTCATGGAAAATAAAACATTTAAATATATCACAAGAAATATGTTCCTTTTTTTTATTTCATAGTACATACATCCATGATTAATAAAAATATAAGTATCTTCTAGATTACTCATGTTTCAGATGGGAAAAAATTGAGCATTTCCTATTAATCTCAGATGTAAGTGGTATTTAAATGCTGCATACAGAGTTTAGTTAGAAAGAAATTAACTATGCACTTGGGAATAATTTAAAACTTCTCTTCAAGATAATTGTTATATTTAGACCAAAAATTTATTTACAAATAACAAATATAAACTAAACATCTAGTCATTCAAATGCACATGACAAAGAACTCTTATATACAACACTCATCAAATTCTTTAATTAAAATCTTGGGAATATAACTTAAAAAGTTGTTTTAAAAGTAAACCTATATTTAAATGCTTCTTTGCTAAAGCATTGAATGGATAATAAAGTATAGCAAATTTTTTGTTTTTAAAATTATTCAGAACTACTATATGTATATTTCAAATCTATTTTATAAAAATGAGTAGATATTTATAATAATAAATTTTAAATAATTTTTTTTTTAATTTTATCAAATGCTTCCACCACTATGAAGTTCAATATAATTACTAATAAATTTGATTAAGAAACATAGGAAATTGATCTCCCGGTCCCTATTTTTCAAAACAGGAAGACTATCTTTTCAGGACAGAACAGAAAAGGTCCATGTACATTAATAATAAAAGTGTATAGAAATAAAAGAAAAAAGTCTATGCTTTATATGTTCCATAATTAAAAATTTTAATAAAAATATAAATGCGTACTAATTTATAATTCTAGCATGATTCATAAAAAGTTCAAAATGAATTAAATACTTATGAAATACTTGGAACATTTACCTTAATTTTTCTGCTATAGCTTATACACATATCCATTCACTTGCTCAATTATATTATATATACATACATATATACAAGTGCTAATTGGGTTGTAACCAACCAAATACTGAAAGTTTTGTACTTAAAAATTAATATTTTGTAAAAGATAATTTTGAATTTGATTAGTAATTTAGGAGCTTGATTCTTTTGCATGGTTGTAAGCAACATAATCCAGCCTCGAATCCTCTTCGCTGGAAAAATTAGATACTGATTCTTCAGCATCTGAATTATCATTTCCCAATTAATACTGCCTATCTACTTACCTAACAAATTTTTCATTCAATATGCAAGGTACTGATGTATCATTAATATAACTTTTAATATGTACGTAAGTTGCATAAAATAATGCAAATACAAATTTTAAAGCATACTTCTTTTCAGCTAATTTTACAGCAAAATATTAAACTTTATCTACATTTTTAGGGGGTATTTTTTACTTACATTCTCCAAATTGTGTAAATTTTTAAAAAAAAATACTTAAATTGAGTAATTTAATATGGTAAGAGGGCAAATTAATAGTCTGAAGTATGGTCTTAAAATCATAGTAGCATACCATCACGAATCATTTGTGGAAGAAAATAAAACGCACAAAGACAAAAAGATATTAAAGAAGATTATTATCTTGAACAAGAATACAGAGTCAAATGTGATTTCTGAACTTAATGTGCAGTTTATAAGTTAGATTAGGTTATTTGAATATGACAAAATAGACAAGGGATACCAGCCTACTGAGGAATGGCTTCATGCAGGCCTTTCTAAGACAAACTGGCTTGTATTCACGTTACTATGGAATGGGAAAAACCAGCAATGCAGCTAACTTACTCACCTAGGAACAAACCTGGGTCAAACTTTCAGTACTCTTAACCACTTGTCCACTGGTGGGCCTATGTAATTTATAGAACTCAGGTTATATTAAATTGCTCAGAATTCAACTGCTTACAGTGAACTTTCTAAGCTAACTACGTATGTTTCCAGTAAAGACGACTGCCTTGCTGAGGTGATGGTCAGTACCACTATTTGTTTATATACAAAGAAATACTAATTCAGAGATGACCATCACTCTATTTATAGTAACTGCTACTGCAAAATCCCTTGTATTAGGGATGAATGCAAAGCATATACTATGCTGGCTGCATAATCACAAAACATGAATTGCTGATAACTGGGAGGAAATATTGCGATGAAAAGTATATTATTATATTTAAAAAAGTACTGGAAGTAAATCAGCCTTCACGATTTTGCCCATAACAAAACATGCATTAAAACGTGGTGGAGATCTAGTCAAACTGCCAACAGTTATAATATAGTTTTCAACAGGTCTCATCACCATCATTTGGGAGGGGGAAGATCAGCAGTGACAGCAATTTGAACAACCATGTCTATTCGGTTATTTAAAACAGAGTACTACAACTTTCAAAAGATAACATCTTAATTTTTAGACATAGGAATGTGCAATCATTGAATATATGTTTTTAAATTTACATACTTGCTCAGTCTTTCACATTAACCAGAAGTAAAAATTATCAGTCTATGTTAGCTATGTTGAAAAGAAGGAAGATCACTTTACCTTCCTCCAGTTTCTTAAGAAACTGAAGCAGTTTACTTGCATGAAGAATGATGTAAATACACTACCAGCCAAGATTTGTATGTGTCCATCTTACACAGAATTCAGACTGTTTTAAATGCTAAATGTGATTATATACCATATTAGGTACATAATATCTCTGCTTTCATACTTCTTTTATTTTGTGCAGTCCTTGTATTTATTTTTTAAATTTTTTCAATCTTCAATTTAAACATTTTGTATGACATTGTTTTTAATGTTTTGTCTATGTGAATTAAAAGGAAAGCAAAATTTTTCTGGAACGTATTATCACATTATAATAAAATTACATTATATTTCTATTAGTTACCACATATCAACCATTACAGCATTATTTTTTCACTGTCACTATATACCCTATATACACTGTTCATTAGAGGTCTGATTTATGTATGAATCCTAAAAAAAAAAAGACATTTTCCAAAACATTTATAAACTGATGGGGCATCTTGTATGCATGTATGTATAATATATAGATAGATTAGCAGATATAAATACATAAATTATCAATATTATTATAAAAACTAAAAATACATTAAATGTACAACATTAAATTATACATTTATATAACTTTAAACTGTAATGTTCTGTTGAGCTCTACAATAGAATAATTTATTTAATTTGTATAAATAATTTTAAAAAAAGGATATACTTTTTTAATTTAGTGGAGACTTATTTTTTCCTTTATAATTTCAACAATATTAACTTAATTTTATTAAGTTATTCAATTAATCAGAATTTTATTCTTTAAACTAGCATCATAGCATAAAGAATTTCTCCTTTTTTATAGAGTTCCCATAAAAAAGTGAATTTTTTTGTCTTAATAAGGCATAAATCATACAATATCTACCTTTATTTTTAATATCGGAGAATAGAAGTTTCATATAAACTCCGGATCATTTTCAAGACATAACTATTCAACAGTGTAAACCATCATTAGAATAATTTAATGTGCTTAGTATGATGGGAAGATATAATTACAGGATGTACAGCTTATAGAAATTGTCTAGGATATTGATTCTTAATTTGAATCAGAAAGTTAATTCATGGGATCTATTTTAAAAACATTCTTAAAAAAAAAAAAAAAAAAAATAATAATAATAATAATAATAATGACATTAAGAAAAACTAACATGTCAGGGCTGAATTTTTTTATGATGCTGAAGAATAACAGTTAATAACAGAATATCTTACAGATAACATTTTTATTACAAAATTAGGTAGAAATCAATATTAAAATATTTTATGAGATTTCATAAAACAAAACATAACAAACAGTGGCATTTACATAATTCTCAAAGTCCCACTAATGTCTGCATAAAATGGTGAAAGATTTATTACAACAAACAAAAGTAACAAACTCTTTTTAGGTATCATTCAACAAAAGCCAAACACATTTCATTCCTAAGATAGCCGATTAAAGCATCCATAACTCTGCTCCTAATAGTAATGTCTCCTGATACCATGGCAGCAAACACTGCAATATCAGTCACATCAATACTCTGCATAATATTTCGAACTTTTTCAGCCAAGTAATCTCTTCGTTCTTGCTCCATTGTTGCTATAACTTGAGAGGCTGGTAAAAATTTATTATGTGATGCAGCTGCAGCTATTATACCTCCTAGAGCACCACCTAATATCATACATTAAATACTTTTTACAAAGAATCTTCTCAGCAGACATGGTTTGCATTTATTTCACATGAAGAAGAAAATTACACAAGTTTAATAATTTCTAAAATTGTGATACCTACTAATGTTTCATAACTGCTTTTACTTTCCATCCACTAAAAGATATCTCATAAGAAATAACTGACTGAAACGTTTAAAATGCTGTTAGAGTAAATAAAAAGTACACTAATGACAGAAATAACCTGATGTATGCTTTTGGAGTTTTTCTTATAATAATGATTCTTTATTTTGCAACAAAGTTCTAAAAAAATCTCATTTCTAAAATGGCAATGAATATTATTTTAATTCTCTTCAATGCAATGGATATTTAGACATTTACGATTACTGCATAAAACAGTTTGAAAACTGGCCTGAAAGCAGTGGAGTAGCGAGCATAACTGGTGCCCGGGGCAAAATACCTTTTTGGCACCACCCCCCTAAAAAAACACAGTGATATGATGAAAATCTTGTTTGGAGAACATTCGGCGCCACTCGTGAGTGACGTCCTGGCCTTGCTCCCCCTCGCTACGCCACTGAATCAAAGCTGCTGCATGATGATAGATTGATTAGGAATGGAATGGATTTCTTTTCATAATCAGGATATACTAGATATATATTCCATATATCTGAATTATTGTGCCAATGAATTAGTCTTGTTATTACAGCTTCTGTATTTATGGCAACAAATGAATAGAAGGATTTCCAGTGAGAACTTGAAGAGCATTTGTCAAAAATAATCTTCAGATGCTTAGAGAAATTTTAATTAAGATCAAATATTGAATGCTACTTTCTTGCTTGATCCTAAAACCTGTAAGTTGAATGATACATATTGAAAGGCCGTTAGATTATGATTTTTTCAATTACACAGTTGCACCATATTTCAAAGAGATAGGGCAAAATGGCCTACTTTGTGTCTTTAGTTCTAGAGAGTGTGTTAGTACTTTCTTTTTGATATGATGTACAATCTAGAGTCTATGTAGATATCTAAGCATAACAAATTAACTCTTCTAATTATTCAAGCAAACTGCAGGAAGTTTGACTAGTTTTGGGCTACAGCAAAATAATACAACTTTTGTTTTGTTGCTTGCAATTTTACATTTATGCTGAACAGTCGTATTGTTGAAAGATTTAATGAAGTTTATCTATTCATTTCTTATTACCTACACAATGACATACTAGCTACCATCAAAAAAATTGTCTGTATAGGCTTGCAGTCATGTGTGTTGGATACTTTGAAAGAGGAAGACAGTCAAATTTGCTGCTAATTTCCACAGAGCTGGACAAAACATGAGCCCTGTGGACAGTAATTAACTTGCAAAAAAATTGAATCTGTAGTGGTGACTTGAATCTTTAAAGATGATTAAAAATCTTTATTGATGATCTTTAAAGTTGACCTTTAAAGATAAATCTGCAAAAGGCAATTATAATTTTTAACACCCTAAGCATCATTTTTTTTTCCCCCCCCAAAAGGATGAACCACTGATTCCCATGTTTAGATTTTCTGGCTGCATAATGATTTATGCCTTGCTTGCTGTTAGTTCTCAGTTCAGATTTAAAACTAAGAACAGAGAATTTTATATGAGTTTATATAGTATTTTATATGAGAGTTTTATATGAAATTCTTGCTATTCAATCAAAAATATACCAAAACTAAAATATTTTCTCTGTTTTATGCCAAAAGTTTAAACAATTATTTCTTATTTTAAAAAAATTATTATTTTTAAGTGTCAGAATTTTACACAATTGCCACTTTTTTAAATATAATTCGACTATGTGGGGTGCTGGTGCCTAGGCATTATAATAGCCACAGAGTGATAAATTATTTTGTGATATGCACTCAATAAAAAACTGCCAAACAAAGCCTGACTAATATGAAAAGAAAAATAAAGATAAAACTCATCTAGCTGCAATCAACTATGAAACCTACATCTTTAATTTAATTTTTCAATTTATATCAGCATTTATCTAAGCATTTTAATTATATCATATGCAAGTCACATACAGATATTTCAAGTATCTAACATACTAATTGCATACATTTTAGGTGCTAATACACAGTTTTCAGGCTTATATCCTGAATTTTCATAAAAACATGCAGCTGAACACCATATTGTTAAAAAAATTATATTAACCCTCTGAGCAACATAGCTTTTGGGAAGGTAGTCTATATTTTAGGGTATCCCTTGTATTATATTATCGGCAAGTTGTTTCATTTATGGTAATCTGAGTATTTTATGTTGAATATTATGGAAACCCTATCATGACGTGATTGGTTGTAATGTGTGATTGCGGTGATTTTGACTGTTGGGGAAATATTTCTGAGGCTTATTTATGCATTGGATGTTGGTTAGGAAATACATTGCTTATTTTGTGCTTTACACCGTAACATGCCTGCTAGTAGTACAATTCGCCTGAAGTTTCCGTACACTTTAGAACGATTGGGAAAGAAAACGTTAATCGACTGGCGTGTAAATGATGATATAAATGGCTTTGTTCACCTCGTGGTAAATTACACAGCGAAATCTAATGATTTGGAAACCAGAGCTCATATCAACACTATGGAAGGTAAGCAAATTGTAATAAAAAGTTATTTTTGAAAGAAATGCTTCCAGCAGTATGGAGTATATTTTTCATTTTTACTTTTATGAATTAATGTGATAATGGCAGCATAGAGATTGTAGTTTAGATAATTTAAAATACTTCTTGTATGCTGTTAATGAATTCTGTTTTTCACACATATCACAGAAACAGAAATTCTTAAATTAAGTCAATATTTCCGTTCTGTACTGCATAGATAAGATATTGTTTCCATTCTTATGTCATTTACTTGTTTGATTTAAAATGCAGTTTATTGAGATTATATATTTTTTGTTTTAAATATGTTTTATTGTATTATGTTTTGGACGCCATTTTACTGGGAAGTGCATTGGACATAAACAGGAATGGTGCCAACGAGTACACTGAAATGTATTTTTACCCACATGCCTTTTTCCGCATTGCATGTCAAGCTCTGAATTTACTGGAGCACAGCCGACACTAGAATATATGCATTAACCTGCTTATTCCATTTTGAAAATGCCGCTGAACATCCATATCATTGAAACTCCCATGTGCAACATTTCCAAAGCATCTGGCATGGGAAAAGTATTGCAGAAATACAGACTTTGTTCGAGATGAATGCACAATGGCGCACACACACGCACACACACACACACACACACACACACACACACAAAAAAAAAAAAAAAAAAAAAAAAAAAAAAAAAAAAAATCCAGATTTTATATTACGATCAAAGGGGCTTTTTTTAACGTTTTGTGTGTTACCTTTATTTATTAAATACCATGTTCTTCGCACTTAAACCATAAAATTCAATTCAAGAGCAATATCACAAAATAATTCTTAAATGAACATATCTTTAGAATTTCCAGTACACAGTCTCTCACGCGGAGATAAAAAAATTCTTTTTCCGTACAGTGTTGCCATTGCTCACTATTAAATCATTGAGTTTCTTAATCAAAATTTCATAAATGCTTTACAAAATATGAAATAGATAATAACACAAATTTCAAAATTGGACTTCCAGATGCCCATATTCAGGTAGAGATGTATGTTATTCGAAATTTGATGTCTCTAGGTACCATTGTTTTATCCCAATGCAAGAAACATACATACATTTATGCAGATACTTCATTATTTAATTTCTTTAAATATGAAGGGCTCTAATACTTGCTGGCAATAATTTAAAAAGTGATTCGCCATTTATAGTGAATCAATGCTAAATGGTAGAACGAAATTAATAGCCCTTCTGGGCTAACACCATTGATGTTTAAAAAAAAAACCTGCTCGAGGCTCTTGATCAATCATTGCAAGATCATAAAAACATCATACTATTTGCGAACACATTAATATTGCTTGCAGGAGATTTCACGCAAACATTACCTATTATTCCTTGATCCACACTAGCAGATGAAATAAATGATGATGTTTGCCTGAAATACTCTACTTTGTGGTGACACATATAGACATTGAAATTAAGTACAAATATGCATATCCAGCTGCAAAATGATCGAACAGCTGAGATATTCTCACATCAATTACCAAAAATTGAGAATGGAAAAGCACTGGTTGATCTGACCAAAGGATGAATTTCATTGCCTCATAATGCCTGCAATTTAATGATGTTGAAAAAAAGAATTGGTTAAAAATGTATTTCCCAATATTTAAACTAATTATAAGAATCTTGACTGGCTGAGCAAACGAGCTATTCTTGCAACCAAGAACAAAGACATCCACGTACTTAAAAATATCATTTAGCCTAACATTCAAAATGAGGCAGTCACATACAAGTCTGTCAACACAGTTGTGCAAGCAGTTAATGATCCAACAGAATTTATGAATTCACTTGATTTGCCAGGGATGCCACTGCATGCACTGCAATTGAAAATCGGCATGCCAATTACTATGTTGCAAAATATCACCAGTTAAAGCTTCGCAACAGCATGCAGCTTGCAGTAAAAAAATTAATGAGCAATGCCATAGAAGCAACAATCTTGACAGGACCTTTCAAAGATGAAGATGTCTGCATTCCTCGCATTCCTATGATTCCAACAGATATGCCATTTCAATTTAAGACTGTAATTACCAATTCAATTGGTGTTTGCAATCAGCATCAACAAAGTTCAGGGCAAATCTTTAGAATTATGCAATTTAGATCTAGATGCTGATTTGCTTCTCACACTGACAATTATATGTTGTGTGTTCTAGAGTCGGCAAACCAGACAACCTCTACACCTGAACAGACAATGAAACAAAAAATACTGTATACCCACAAGCATTGTGAAATTTAACATAACAGAAACATGCATTTTTTCTCTTTTCTTTCTTTTTCATTTAACCAGGCTGAGCCATAACAAGACATGGCTAGGTACAGCTAGTTTGGCATAAAATTGCTTATTAAATCGCCTTGTTTAAAAACATGGAACCTGTTTCTTGTTTTCTGCAACAAATTACTGACTTGTCAAAAGTCAGCCTCCGTTAGGTAAGAAGACATGGGTGGGGGGGTCAATCTTGGTTCAATAACAACTTTTATTTTAGGATTTCTTTCAAATGACTTTCTTAAATTCCAAAACTTAGCATACTCATGTGTTTTGGATAGCACTTTGTATTATATAGTTTTATAACAATAAATATTTAATTTCAATTCTATTCATACATTTTTTTATAATCAATGAGATCTAGACTAAGCTGATTATCAACCCCATAGAGAACTGGCCTAAAATGTAACAAATTAGTAATCCCCCCACATATAGAAGGGGGAAAAATCGAATGCTCAAAATGTTAATTTCAAGTTATATTTAGTAAACTGAATTTTCACAATGGCATTCATTAGTGGAAATTTCTTTAAAAGAAATGTGGAAGATGAAAATTATTCTCAACATCCATAAAACACAACCACTTTTGCCCTCTCATAAAACAATGTCCATCCAGTAGTATCACAGATGCATGTTCACACTTAAGATCAGTACAAACTTTTTATTAACACATAGTTCTCATAATGATGTATTCCATTCATTTTTAAAATCTTAAAATTTTACACATGTGAAATATATTGTAATATATCAAAATTTTATACACAATTTTTATAGTAGATGCTCATTTGAAGCAAAAAATTACACATAACTCATGCAAAAGTATCTATAAAAAACTTACCAAATGCAAGTCCAATTGGTCCTAAGAGACAGCCACCTAGAATTGCTGATCCTCCAGCTATAAGACCACCTTTCAATGATTCTTTTAGTGTTACTCTTAATTTTTCTTCTTCTGACAAAGTACAGAGTAGTTCGATAATTTCTCTGCTATTCACAGGCATTTTCCTTTAAAAAACATAAATTCTGAATAAAAGCCCAAATTACACTCACTATTCATTTAAACTAAGTAATTTTGTAATCTATATTAACAGCAAATAATTATCAAACAGCCTCCCCCTCTCAATTCTCTACAACTACCGACAAATTTTGTATTTGTAATTTGAATTTGTAAGGACTTGTGCTGTGTGTTGATTAGGAAGTACATTGCTTTTTTCTGGTTTAGACGATAAAATGGCTGAATGTGGTACGATTAATTTGAAGTTTATGTACGATTTGGAAATAAGGGGGAAAAGAGTATTACTTGATTGTTGTGTAAATGAAGGTTTACTCAGTAGCCATTATTGAGTGTCCTGTTTGTAGGAAGGAAATGCATATGGTCAAACCATAACGGTGCTACGGAGGATATTTTTTACTCTTATTTTGTGAATTGATGTGGCGATGACAGAATACAGATTGTAGTTCAGATAATTTTAGGCCCTTTTGGATGCTGTTAAGGAATTTTGTTTGACTGAAAACGTGTTAATTCGTAAGTAAGGTAAGTGGATATTTCCTTTGTGTAGTGCAAAGATGAATTTCCTTTTTTATGTTATTTCAAAGTTTAATTTAAAATGTAGTTTATTGAGATTATATATATTTTTTTGTTGGCTGCTCCTTTGACTTTTTAAGTGAATATAGTTCAATGTGTACTGGGACAAAGTCAAGGGAGTGTGCAATGCCCAGTTTGTGCAATTCTCTGATATTTTTTTTAAGTGAAAATAGGTTGATGTGTACATGGATAAAGTCAAGGGAGTGCACAATGCCAAGTTTGTGCAATTCTAGGATTTTTTTTAAGTGAAAATAGGTTGATGTGTACATGGATACCGAGCTTGTGCAATTCGTTTTCTTGTTATTTTGGCTTTGCGTAGTGTCGATTTTTGTGAAAAAAATCGCCGCTACACAAGCTAAAATAACAAGTCAAAGAATTGCACAAACTAGGTATCTAGGTAAAAATATATTTTAGGGTACCCCTTGGCGAAACTTGGCGATATTTGTACATGGATACCAAGTTTGTGCAATTTTTTGACTTGTTATTTGGCCTGTGTAGCGGCGATTTTTGGTGCAAAAATTGCCGCTACGCAAGCCAAAATAACAAGTCAAAAAATTGCACAAACTCGGTATCTATGTACATATCGACCTATTTTCATTTTTAAAAAAATCCCCAAATTGTGCAAAAATAGCATTGTGCACTCCCTTGACTTTATCCATGTACACATCGACCTATTTTCACTTTAAAAAAATCAGAGAATTGCACAAACTATGCTTTACACACTCCCTTAAATTTGTCCATGTACACATCGATATATTTTCACTTAAAAAGTCAAAGGAGCACCCAATTCAACAGTAGAGGCAAACAAAAAATACATAATCTCAGTAAACTACATTTTAAACCAAACAATAAAATAACACAAAAAAGGAAAAACCTGTTATGTATTTTAGCACTACACAAAGCAAAAATCCCCTTACCTTATTTAGAAATTCGTTCATCTTCAGTCTGTGGCACACAAAATTCCTTAACAGCATCCAAAAACTTCCTAAAATTATCTGAACTACAATCCGTATATCGCATCGCCACAGAAATTCACAAAAATAAGAGTCAAAAATATACTACGTAGTTCCAGACTATGGCTACTAAGTAAACCTTCATTTTACACAATTAATTCACTCAATTAATGCACTTTTTCCCTTTCATTCCCAATTGTACAAAAACTTCAAATTAATCCTACTACATTCAGCCATTGTATCATCTAAACAATGAAACAAGCAATGTACTTTCTAAGCAACACACACCTTGCAAAACATCCCATGATTCAAAATTTCCCAGAATAATGCAAACGATTGCATTTTAATAGGGTACCCATAACATTCAACTACTCAGGTTACCATTAACTTGGCGACAAACGAAACAACAACTTGGCAATAAATGAAACAACAATTTCGCAATAATACAAGGGGTACCTTTAAGTCAACTCTAACTGGTATCTATGTACCACCAAAAATTGGCAATTTTCGCCAAGGGGTACCTGTAAATATACTTTTACCATACACATAGTATAAAAATGTATATAGAAACAAGACAAGATGATGCAAGATTCTAAGTAACGAAACTGTAGTCTCTTAGTCACTGTGCTATGTATGGATGAATATGAATATCCATTAGATTGACAATCAGACACAGAAGTTCTCGGCATAACTGCTCTGTCCTTTTCTGAAAAAATTGTCCTTCATCCAGTATAAATATTTCTGCATGATCTCTATCTTAAGATCGTCATGCAGAAACTTATTACCGACATAAAAGTGAGTACCCATAATCCTAAGAATTTTGTTTTGCACCACTTGAAGCCTATTTACATTAGCCTTTGAGGCAGTCGCCCAAGCTGGGCAAGCATAACTCAGAATGGACCTGAGAATTGTGGTATAAATTTTCCTCTTTCTATTAAGATTTAAGCCTGAACTTTTGCCCAGAAGCATGTGCAGTTGATTGGCAATGGTGCTTGTTTTACCTATTACATAATCCGTGTGCGTAGTACAGGTCAAGCATTGATTAGGATAGAACCCAAGACTAACATTGTCAACACAAAGCACTTGCTGCCTGAAAAGATATAAAGGCTTGGAGAGTAACATTCCGAATTCTTCCGTGACGAAACAAGGTAAGTTTAGATTAACTTGCATTAACTGAACTCTGCCATTTAGCACACCAATCCTCAATATGAAAAACAAAGCCCTGCAGTACGCTTATGGATCTATTGGGCTGAACAGATCTAGCAGCTATCGCAGTACCATCTGCATAGCATACCACAATCATGTTTATTTGGAGACTATTGCTAAGGAAATCTTAAGCATAAAACAAGTAGAGTAATGGCCTTAAACACGACCCTTGCAGGATGCCAACATCAACACATTTGTAGGTTGAATAGCTTTCTCCCACAGTTCACTGCAAAAAGCCTGGTCATAAGATAGGACCTTAAGAGGAAAATAAACTCACGCAGAAAGTCCATACGAATCAATCTGTATAGAAGTCCCTCATGCCAGAACAGTCGAAGGCTTTTGCATATCCAGCATGAAGGGAGCTGTACAGCATTTATGATGCAAGGCAGAACCCACCAGGCGATTCAACGAGGTGAAGCAAAGCCGTACTGATAGTTGGGAAGGTAATGAAGAAAGAATTCAATCCTCAGTAAGATGAATTGAACCCTTCTCTTATAACTGCTGAATGTTATGCCAGCCTAAAATAAGAACCGACCAATCACAGCAAAGCAGACATAAACTAATCAGTGGTGTAACTAGAACTCTTAGACCCCTATGCAAAAAATTTCCTGAACCCCTACCCCACTAAATTTAATGTGCTTAAAAATAAAAGTGAACAATTTAAAAAAAAGTGAAAAGTTTAAAAAAATCAAGGATTCCACGAGCCAGTGTTTTCATGATGATTTTTATCACATCTGGATTATTTGTTAAAAAATAAAAGCACATCCTTAGGGAACCAATTAAAAGGTAGGTAACATGAAGAAAGAATAAAAAGGAAAATATTTTCCCTTGACCAACTGTGAAATTTGCTTTAGTCTGGGTATTTGACCTCAGATGATTCAGTCATTTTAGACTTTTTGTGTGTATGTGAGAGACAGATTTTTCTCTCCTTTCACTGAGATACATACTGATAATAAATGAATAAGTCTATATAAAAAAAAAAGAAAAGCAAGAAAGCCTAGATTTGCGAAGATTTTTATATAAAATCCAAGAGGTTTTACATACAAATATGTTTTAATACAGCAAATTTAGCAAACTTAAATAATTGGTTATTATATAAACTGACAGACAAAATAATAGATAAACGTACAGAAAAGATATTAATCTAATATATAGTACTCTGTGATTTACTCAGCTTACGAACAAGACTTATGCAATAATATAAAAGTAATAAATAATAACTTTTATAATGCAAATGATACATTTGTTAAATATAAAACATATTTACCATAACTTCATAAAAAAACTATTTGAACATACAATTTGGAGAAAATATATACAGTAATGTTTTTTCCCCTGTCTTTTAAAAAAAATTTTGTTCACTAGACTACTTGAATACATGATTTTTATAAAAACTATGAATGCTGAAGTTTTTTCCCTGTTTCCTTTTAATTTTCCTCAGTCCACACTTCTCTAATGTTTTTTCCCCCTCAATAATTATAATTATAACACTGGTGGCCAAAATTCATCATAAAGACAAAAATCTTTCTTTATTAAAATTTACGCCTCCTAGAGAAAGACTATAGAAACGTCATTAGAATAAGAGCAAGTTCAGTTTACTGTTCTGAATCATCAGCCAATTTCAAGTATACTGAAGATAGCATTTCACACTTCAACGTAGCTATTTAGGAAAGAAAGGGACTCCGCCTCCACAATAAATTTCCAGTGTCTTCCCAAGTTGAGTCACAGTAAAACTTTCATCTAAGATTTTGCTGTAAAGACGTCCACTTTCCTTTTAAAAACGCTGAAACATCTGTGTTTTTTTTTTTTTTTTTCCAGTCAAATTCTAATATTATTATCGTCATATTCCAATGACACATAATACATGATCTGCAATATCTTTTAGCTTTTCCTCTGTACTATAAATGTATTTCAGTTAATGTATAATTATTAAATATTTAACAGTAAAAATTATGGATATTCGAATAATTTTAGAAAGTTCTTCCACAAGTTTAGGAGGAAATAATAAACAGAACCAAATTTTATTGACCTGTATCCAAAGAGCTTTGAAGATGACTGAGTAATACGAAATGGAAATTTTAAAATTAAACACATACTTATGGTATGAGGATTTATCTGAATTTAAAACCCACTGTAGCAGAATATGATGATTCCCAAGTTTTAAGTTCCCAGAAATGTTTAATAATTTGTAGTTAAGCTTACTGACACTAACGAATATTTGAAGATGAATACTTATACACTGTGTCGCATACATTCTAAAA